CTTGAGCTGATGAATCAGATTTTTTTTTACTTTTGCTTAGACTTGTGTTGATGGAATTTGTAGTTAGGAGCTGGCACTTCATTGCCTGGTTTAGTAGCTGCAAAAGTTGGGGCTAATGTAACCCTTACCGATGACTCGAGTAAAGCCGAGGTATGAAAATGTATTGATTAGGATTTTGTTATTTGGTTCAGAGATTACGAGTTTATTCGTTCATTTGATTTATACATATGTGTAGGTTTTGGAGAATATGAGAAGAGTGTGTGAGCTTAACAAGCTAAACTGTAATGTAATGTATACATAACACCCACTGAATTATCTACCCTTATGTGTATATGTTTGTGTCTCCAAGATATTTGTTTCATGGTGTTTGCTGGGTTTGGATTACCATTTACATGAGTCCTTTAGCTCATTCTTTGAAAGTCTGGAGAGTTTTCTAATATAAGATACTTGTGATTGTCTATTTTCAGGTAATGGGTCTTACTTGGGGAGTGTGGGATGCACCAATATTTGAACTGCGGCCTAACATTATACTTGGGGCTGATGTTTTATATGATTCAAGTGGTTAGTTCATTTGTTTTCTTTGTCTTGGCCTTCTCTTTTCACCTTGTGGAGTCGTGACTTCTTCTAGTTTATTCTTACCATGAGTTGAAAATGTGAATCCGAATCTCTGTTTTGTATAGCGTTCGATGATCTCTTTGCCACCGTCTCGTTTCTGCTTAAAAGTTCTCCGGATGCAGTATTTATCACTACATATCATAACAGGAGGTACACAATTCTTGTTCAATCCTCCTGGCCATCTAACATATCTGCCAAAGATTAGGATGTTGATTATTTTTCTGGTTCTCATATTTTCATATATATGATTTTGCAGTGGGCATCATCTTATCGAGTTCTTGATGGTGAAATGGTCTCTAAAGTGCGTTAAACTTCTGGATGGCTTCTCGTTCTTACCATCTCGCAAGGCATCTATACTTAGCGGCAACATTCAGTTGGTTGAGATCGTACTGAGTTCTGAAAGTTAGCAGCTTAAGACTCGAACAGCTAGCTGACTGGAGTATTAATAGTCAGAGGTCAAAGGTATAACATTTAACTTCATTATAAGATAATGCATAGTTACTCTACTCTAAAGGGGATTAGTAGAAATAGGGTTAATCAAATACATATACTATAGATAACTCTTGCATAATCAAATATCTCTGACCTTTTGTTTCTTCAGATAACCACTGTTCTTGACGCATATCAAGCAAAGCATTGTTGATGAAGATATATTAGCTTCAACTTCAAACCAGAGTTAAGAACCTTGGCGTGTAAGCAAGAATGAAGCTTTGAATTCTTTGAAGGCTGCGCACCAAGACAGTACTGCGTATACATGGCTGATACAGAACCAAAGTGTAGAACTTTACATTCGAAGAGAAGCATTCTCTTGACGACGTCGTTTTGGGTTTTCAAATATGGATGTTGAAGATTGGTAACAATGGCTATAGAATTAGAAGCCATCATTATCATGTAGCTAACTCTCTCAGATAAGCAAATTCTGACCCTTTCTCGCAGTTTAAGTGTCTTAGACTCTTAGTGTAATGATTTGTAATGCTAAACACACAAACATGATTATCGAAGGGTGAGAAGAGCAAAAGATCAATCAAGAACTTGGCTGAATTATACAGCATAAAATCAAATATTTCTGACCTTTTGTTTCTTCAGATAACCCCGTTCTTGACGTATATCGAGCAAAGCATTACTGATTAAGATATTAGCTTCAACTTCAAGACCAGACTTGAGAACCTTGGCGTGTAAGCAAGAACGAAGCTTTAAATTCGTTGAAAGCTGCGCACCAAGACAGTACTGCGCATCCATGGCTGATACAGAATTAAAGTCTAGAACTTTACATTCGAAGAGAAACACTCTTCACGACGTCGTTTTGGTTTTCAAATATGGATGTTGAATATTGTAACAATGGCTATCGAATTAGACCCCAGTACTAGCAAACTCTCTCAGATAAGCAAATTCTTACCCTTTTTCATAGTTTAAATGAATTAGTGTAATGATTAAAAGTAGTTGTAATGCTAAACACAAACATGATCATCTAAGGTTGAGAAGAGCAAATATTCGAGGAAACTCACATGGCAGGCAAAAGCCAAGCGGGACAATTGATATACTTTGTGTTTAGATCTTATAAAACACTTGCTACTTGCCCACTAGTTCTATTATTATAGATTTGTTAACGTTAATATCAATGTAAATTATATAATAAGTACCATCGATTGAAATACATATAGGAACAAAAGTACAATTACACAAACATTTTCATTCTACCTACTTCTCTGATCATCACAACAGCCATGGAGTCCAGGATGATAAGTGGACATGACCATACTTTATCCACAGTCAACCAACCTATTGGTTTGGAATGCGATGCGTGTGATCGATCATATTGCAAAGGTTTTTCTTGTAATGAATGCAAGTTTACTATCCACAAGCAATGTATCTTTTTGTTCGAAAGAACGATTGTATTCGACCATCCTTCTCATCGTGGACATCGTCTTGAGCTTCTAACAACGGGAGCTCCTGATCACACCAACTCGAAATGCCATATTTGCGGTAAAAACACTAAGCGTCTTCTTTATCATTGTTCCACTTGTAATCTCAACTTGGATATAGATTGCATGGTAGATGCAATGTGTGACCAAGCCAATGTGAATATGTTGTGGCACCATCATCCTCTACTCATGATTTTGTTTGGTGGTTTTATGGTATGTGAGATTTGTCGTAGTGGAATGGACATTGGCTACTTTTGCCCTCGTTGTAGGTTGTTGGTTCATAGGAAATGTACCTCGAAACTTGACTCAATAGAGATCACTCACTCTTGTCATGTTAGACACTCTCTTAAGCTCATCACGGGAGCTCCCGGTTACACGGATCGGGAATGTCATCTATGTGGAAGTAACACTGGGAATATTCTTTATCATTGTGATATTTGTAAGTTCAACTTGGATATCAATTGCGCGGTAAGAAAGCCCCCACAAGTTGCTCTTTCAAATCTTAAAGTCCATGAGCATACGGTCACACTCATGCCAAGATTGATCTCTTTCGTTTGTGATGCTTGCGGTACGAAAGGTGATCGTGCTCCTTATCTGTGTCATCAATGTGATTTCATGATCCATCAAGAGTGTGCTCGTTTGCCACGCGTCATTCACGTCAATCGTCATGATCACCGAGTTTCGTACAAGTATCCTCTTGGTCGCGGAGAATGGAAATGTGGAGTTTGTTGGGAAGAGATTGATTGGTCATGTGGGGGTTATTCTTGTTCTCTTTGTCCTAATTATGCTGTTCATTCAAGATGTGCAGTAAGGTATGATGTGTGGGATACAGTTGAGCTTGATGGGGTACCTGAACAGGTTGAAGATATTGAGCCATTCTTGGTGAATGATGACAACACAATAACACATTTCGCTCATGAGCATAACTTGAGCCTCAACAAAGAAGGTAGTGCTTATGAGGAAAGCATCTTTTGTAGAGCATGTGTTGGTCCCATCGGTTTTAACTCATTCTACAAATGTTCGGATTGCGAGTTTATTCTTCATGAAACATGCACTTAACTCATTCTACAAATGGTAGAATGTTCGGATTGCGAGTTTATGTTCGGATTGCGAGTTTAACTCATTCTACAAATGTTCGGATTGCGACTTCCGTTGCGCCACTCTACCATTAACGGTAAGACTTCACAGGTACGATGATCATCTTCTTACTCTTTGTTACGGTGAAAAAGCAAGTGGAAAGTATTGGTGTGACATTTGCGAAAAGGAAACAAATCCAGAGACTTGGTCTTACACTTTGTAAAGATTGTGGAGTAACTTTACACATTTTTTGTGTACTTGGAGATCTCAAGTATACCAAATCAGGAGAAAAGATCACAGAAGAAGTTGGATTGCTGCCTAACAATACATCTTCGCGACCACTTTGCAACAACTGTCTTCGTCGTTGCTCAGGTCCTTTTGTTCTTAAAGATTACGAGCACACCAACACATTCTTCTGTTCTTATTATTGTCTCAAAGGTGTCTGATATCGAAAAGACCGCTAGATTGAGCACATCAGATGCCCTCTATGATCAAATATTTGATGATAGTGTAATGTTTTCAAGTTTGAAACTCATTTATTAGATTATTGTTTTTGGATGGCATCTTGGTTTGAAGTTTGAACCTAGACAGACCGCAATACAATTTAAATCGTGGAGTAAGAAAAGATAACAGAAGATGACACAAATCTCATATATTGCGTGCTACACCGACCGGATTAGAATTAGAAGGGATTATTTTCAGACACATCGGAGATTAAAAAGGATTCAGAGAGATGTACAAAAACTACTTCCAACGAACAGGATTGAAGTGTCAAAATCCGATAAAGCTTACATACCTCCATTCGTCATTGCCAATCTCGAATCCAATATCTTACATTACCTCCTTTTCTTTCGGTTTTAGATTCATCGTCTTCCTCATCGCGTGATGCTCTTGCCAGGAAGTGAACACAGTGGTTAAGCAGACCTGAGTGATCTGTCAAGAGTTTTCAGTGACTGAAGCTGTGATTCTTAGCCGAGCAGGTTCTTGACTCTGTTCTTTCCTTCTCCAGAATGCACGTCTCCACCAAACTTCAAAGCCTCTCTGAATATTGGGACAGTCTTCAGTTGAATTCAGAAACCGATCAAACCAAGCTAGGAAGAACTCTTGTTGCCAAGCAAGAGGTAGAGTAAGAATAGTATTGCTTAAACCATCCTCGATTAAATACCGATCAAGCCCTTTCGAGGCTCTCCTCATCCACGCAAAATCATCATAGAAAGGTGTCAACCAGTTCCTCAGCAACAAACACCTCACTTCCTTTGGTGTCAGAATTTGTCCCTTTCCAATTCCGACGAAGAATCTAGCTGTTACTCTGCTAATCTCAAACCTGTGAACAACGGGAACCTTTGCATGCACCTCGGATAGCTCAGAAAGAGAAGCCCACATCACAAGAAAATCTTCTGCAATTTGTCTATCGATCAAAATATCCAAAATCCAATGCAGATTATCCGCTTGTCTTGCTATCTGATCTACATTCTCCAAATCCGACTCTGCTGCTTGTAGAAACTGCCGCTTAAGCTTATGCAAACACCCGTCGCAAGCCAAATACAACGACTCTTTCCTAAGATCATTTCCAGACGAGTTCTCCCTAAGCATTTTGGAAACAAGGGTTTTCATGTCGCGCCTAGCTTTCTCGTCTTTTCCCTCGAGAACTATATGCAAAAGATTTAGAAGCACCTCATCGTTGCTGCCACCGTTACTTCCATTGTTACCATTGCTAGCTTCTACAGAAACCCTTCTCAGAACTTCTGTTGCTCCTACATTTTCAAGGTGTAGCTCAGACAACAACGAAGCAATCCTGTATTCTTCATCCTCTGACCACGGTGCTGCTTCCAAATACTCCAGACACGAAAGTACTCCAGCATCAAACCCAATTGCTGCTGAAACCTGAGAGAACAACACAAGACACAAGACACAAGCAACTTAGGATTCAATCATTAGCAAATAGAGTTGTTCACAATCATTCAAGCAACAGTGAATGATTTCCAATTCGAGTATGTTCTTCAAAAGTTCAAATCTTCCTATACCATAACAAATGAGCAGCTAACAAAACTTGAGTTTTGAGTAATTGTCACAATACCTTCAAAATACCAAGAACCCTAGACACGTCCTGTCTCATCATCTTCTTCCTTAGATCCCTACAATACATCAGCATCAACGTCTCTATATAAACCTCAACGTCATCACAATCTGAGATCTCAACAATATACGGAGAAGACGACGGTGGCAACTGCTGCTTCGACCAACGATCCGACAATTTCATAGCGAAAAACCTACTGTGAGCTACAAGAATCTGCCTATGCACACACATGGTGATACTAATCCCATCTTTAGAACTCAAAGTAAGCTTAACATCACTCGAATTCGGATCGTTGAACTGATTCCCAGGGCTTCGAATCACCAGAAGATCCGAAATCCGTTGCATTGCAAGCGCTTGCTTATCTTGAGCTGAGATTACGAGATGATTCCCATTCGTCGTCCTCGCAGCTACAGC